CATTGTTTCCATACAACCAATGACCTCGCACATTAAACAGCATGTAAATGTCCCTAAAATGTCTCTTTGGTCCTTTTAGATGCTGATGTGGTCCTAACTCCTTAATATCACTACTTTAAAAAGTCCACCCGTTGTTTATTTTAAATGTTTCCCTGCTGGGACTCATCCTGCAAATTACTGTCAATCAAACACAGACACGGCTTCTTTCTTCATATTTAAAATAACACTGACTGCTAAAAGGATGACTAAGCATGATTTCATTTGGACTTTAACTCAACTCAATATATTAATATTGTGATATCAAATAACAAACATCATGACGGAGGATTTTATCCGTAGCGCCCACAGCTAGTCCGGGAAGTTACTGTAAAGAGTTTGAGCTCTTACATCTTTGTAAAAGCTTTCACTCTGATGATATAAGGAGGACGGCTGGTGGTGAACTTTACGAGCCACAACATATTCACAAACAATATTTATGAGACCACAAATTTCTTTTGTAGGCCATAAAACATCAGCTGGTAGCTGACATCCTCCGGGATGTCAGTGTCAGCGGCAGAGTGCTGGCTGGAATGCGATCAGATGTTGAAGTCATTGAGCTATTGTTAAGAGCCAAGATGTCCATCTGTCCACCTGAAGGGCGCGAGTCCTCACCCCAGAGAACTCATCTCATCCCTCCCGGTTCCTCTCCAGCTCAAGTTGTTATTGGACAGACAGAGAATTCCCGGTTGCAATCAACGATTTTCCTGCCTCAATGGTGCTAGAGAGATTACCATCTCAGCCCTGAAATGTCACATCTGCAGTGGCTGTTTCGCAGCTCATCACGACCGATCGGTTATTTCACAGTCTATTTCACAGGTTTGATGCAAAATAAAGCCGGGACAACAGCTTTTCATCCATGACATTCAACCGCAAGCCAGGCACCAGAACTAAAGGGTCTTTCCTAACAAACTATTTAGACTTCTATAAAAATAAATACTATAAAAAGTACATTCTAGGTCATTTGCATAAACACATCACCTACTTAGAGCTCCCATTGAGCAGAGACTCAGCAGAAGAAGCTGGCAGACTGAGAAGGCTAGAAGCAATCTTTTGACCATTTTCCTCTCTAAGTTTCAAAAGTTAAGTCCTGAGACCTCCCATCACTATCGCTCGCATGTCTTTAAACAACCCTGGGGTGCTTCGGCATCGTCTTTACAGCCACCAGAGGTCGAGCTAACAAGATCAGGTCAGGAAGCTAATGCTGCACTTCTCAGTGGCAAACAGGAAGAGGAGAGGCAAGATGAGAGAGCAGATATACCAGAACCGAATCTCAGCAGAGCACTCAATCCTCGAGTGACCTGCTTTACTGCGGGAGGAGGGAGGGAGGGGGGGGGGGCAAGGGGTGAGAGAGGATAGATACAGGGGGTAGAAGCAAATCTGGACTGTCCACAGGATTAACTGAGCAACCGCCGACTGTGAAGTTAAAGTTAACAGAAAGACAGCGGCGGCACCTAAACAAGCTCTGCCTTGAAGAAGCGGGGGAGAGTGAGGAAGCAGCGAGGGAGGATTAAAGTGACAGCGAGGGAGGGGGGGAGGGGGGGGGGACAAGGAGGATGGACACTGTGGGCACCAGCACAGCTATTCCATAAATGACCGTTTGCAATGTTTTTGTCTTTGCAGAAGCAGGCTGCAAAACTCCCCCTATATCTCTCTATCTCTCTACTGCAGACAGGAACCAACATGCAGAAAGTAACACGACGAAATGAGGAACAAGCTGGCCAAAAACTTACCAGGGCAGTATGTGTCCAGGTCTGGATTCTTGGCAGTGGTGGAGGTGTGTGTAGGGGAGCCAAGCTCTGATTGTGGAATGCGAGGGCTCTCCACAAACTTTGCTTTCCGCAGAGGGGCTAGGAGCAGAAAGCGCACACAGATATAGAGAAAGGAGAGGACCACATGCACACGCACACACACACACACACACACACACACACACACACAGATCAGGGAGATGGAAGAAGACAAGAAAGAGAGGAGTGACAGGGACAGGACAGAGAGGGAGGAACATAGAGAGCTTATGAACTTGAAGCAGCACACTGATAACATGACTGAAACATCCTGAAGGCTTTCTATGGCAGCTTTGTATTTGCTTTGGGTCAAATAAAGCTAAAGTAAACAAGCAGCATGGGCAATCCCAACCTCAGCCAACCACTGAAATGTGAAAGTATCACCATACTTCTTCTGTAAAGGCCTTCACTTCCCTCACAACACACACAGAGTAGCAAACAAGATGGACCTTTCAGCTGAAAAGATGGATGCTATAAAAATTTTTTAAAAAAAATAAAAATTGTTGTGTCTATTTGTCCGGCGTCATAATCACACCAAGAATGCAAATGAGATCCATTTTTGGAATGTTCTCTCGCCTGACTCAAGCACGAAGTCTGAGACATCAAACGAGTCCCTTCGACAAGAAATTCAGAGAGAGAGAGAGAGAGAGAGAGAGAGAGAGAGAGAGAGAGAGAGA